CATCTGAGATCACAGCTACTCAGGAGGATGAGGTGGCAGGATCACCTGAGCCCAAGGAGGTTAAGGCTGCAGTGAGCTGTGATCCTGCCACTGCACTCCAGCCTGGGCAACAAAAGAAACCCTATTTGAAAGAAGAAGAAGAAAAAAAGCCAGGTGTGGTAGCTCATGCCTGTAATCCCAGCCAAGGCAGAGGGATCACCTGAGGTCAGGAGTTCAATACCAGCCTGGCCAACATGGTGAAACTCCGTCTCTACTGAAAATACAAAATTAGCCAGGTGTCGGGGTGCATGTCTGTAATCCAGCTACTCGGGAGGCTGAGGCATGAGAATCACTTGAACCCGGAAGATAGAGGTTGCAGTGAGCTGAGATCATGCCACTGTACTCCAGTCTGGGTGACAGAGTGAGACCCTGTCTCAAAAATAAATAAATAAAGTAAAATAAGCACTGGACAAGGATTCGTGAGACCTGGGCTCCTCACCCAATCATTAAATTATGTGGGCAAATCATTTTCCTGCTCTGGATCTTACTTTGCTCATTTTTTATTTGTTTGTTTTTGTTTTTGTCTTCTTGAGATGGCATCTCATTCTGTTGACCAGGGTGGAGTGCAATGGTGGGATCTCGGCTCACTCCAACCTCTGCCTCCCGGGTTCAAGCAATTCTCCTGTCTCAGCTTCCCAGGTAGCTGGGATTTCAGGCACCTGCCACCATGCCCAGCTGGCTAATTTTTGAACTTATAGTAGAGACAGAATTTCACCATGTTGGCCAGACTGGTCTCGAACTCCTGACCTCAAGTGATCCACCTGCCCCGGCCTCCCAAATTGCTGGGATTACAGGTGTGAGCCACTATGCCCAGCCAGTTTGCTCATTTGTAAAATGAAGCTATGGGGTTAAGTCATAGTTTCCAGACAGTGGGTGATGAGAACCAAGATGATGGGGTCCAGATCCTCCTGCGAAGCCCTCAGAGGCAGCTGTTGTTTTGCTATATTAATTGTAAACAATGATTCTGCAGCTAATAAAATGCTTGAAAATCACTAGGCCATGTAACTTAAAGGCCTTTTAACCATTAAATTCAGTGTTTTCCTCCTCTATCTCCTGCTTCTCTTCCTCCCCTGAATTCCTTACTCAGATCCCTGAGTTTGCTGGCAGAGACTTTATGATTCTTCAGGGTTGCAACCCTAAGTCTGTCTTGCTAACTCTCTAGAGGCTGGATTCTGCCCTTTCACTTGCAGCATGGGAGAATTGTTTCTTTCGTAAGATCCCAGAACAATGAGGGAGACACAAGGGTCAGAACAGATCACAATCAGCCACCCTATCTGGCCCAACGCTGAGCGCTCCAGCTCCCCCACCCCCTACTGAACGGCTCACTTCCCAGCCCCATCCCAAGTTAGGTTATTCTCCTGATTCAGACATTTTTGTGGTGTGAAATCATCTCCGTCCAGCCAGCCGAAGCTGGGAGCTCACTCCAGCCCACTGCAGCTTGCTGGCCCTCCCTTTCCCTGCCACGTCCCCACACCCTCAGTTCCTCTCCTCCACTCAGAACTTCCATTTGATTTGCTTTCAATTCTGCAAAGAAACACAGTGTCAAGGGCGTGTTGGATTCAGCTCTGTCCTCTCCCTGTAGCTCCTGGTGCAGGTCCTGGTTCATGATCAAGCCCTAAGGGAAGGATATTAAAATAAGTTTGTTAAACCAAGACAGAGAAAGGAGACAAAGGAAGACAGACATAATCAGACAGTGGAAGGGAGCGACAGACACTGAGAGTCCGCTGTGATCAAGACAGAGACAGAGGCCGAGTGCAGTGGCTCCTTCCTGTAATCCTAGCACTTTGGGAGGCCGAGGTGGTGGGGGTGGGGTGGATCACCTGAGGTCAGAAGTTCGAGACCAGCCTGGCCAACATGGTGCAGCCCCATCTCTACTCAAAATACCACAATTAATTGGGCATGGTGGCACATGCCTGTTATCCCAGCTACTCAGGAGGAATCCCAGCTATTCAGTGAGCTAAGACGGCACCACTGTACTCCAGCCTGGGCAAAAGAGTGAGACTCCATCTTAAAAGAGAGAGAGAGAGAGAGAGAGAGAGAGAGACAGAGGCGAGAAGACAGATTCAAGACAGACACAGAAACAAATGTGAAGAAAACTTCCCGAAACTTAGCAACAAAACAAAAGGGTGAGACTGCATGTCCTCTCAGTGTTAGACTGGAACATGGTCTACAAGTCCATCCAGGGATCATCTTCTCTTGGGAATATATCTTTGTTTGGCTTGCTGCTCACTATTGATTAGGGCTCTGACTTTGAAGTTACATGTTAACTTGCAGGTTTCTGCCCACTTAAAAAAAAAAGAAAAGAAAAAAATAATCCCAGAGGTGACAGTGCAATTGCCTTGTAGGGCATTAACCAGTTTTGTATATTACCCAGTGGTCTTTTTCCAGCATTCTTTCAATGCTGTAGCTGTATAATCTCTTTTTGAATTCTCTTTGAACCAGCTTTACTATCCTGTGTATTCCCTCATTAATGGGTTAAATAAATCATTAACATGTGCTCATTTTTTGTTTTTGTTCATTTTTTATGAGAGTCATGTGTTTAACTTTTAAAAACTGTATTCTGATAAGAATTCTGATAAGAGAGGCAGAAATAGAATGAGATAGAGACGAAGAAAGAGAGAGAGTAAGAAGCAGAGGCAGAGATAGAAGGGAAAGAGACATAGGGACATTGAGAGAGTCCAGAGAAAGAGATACACAGAGAAACAGAAGAAACATAGGTAGAGAGACTGAGACTCAATGAACCCATGCACAGAGTCAGAGAGAGAGAGAGCGAGAGAGAGAGAGAGAAAGGGCCAGCAGCAGAGATCAAGGTCAGCCATGCATGCATAAAACACCATAGTAATGTTAGCCTCGGAGGAAGGGATACAGTGGAGTGAAAAAGATGAAGGGAAGGGACTTTTATATGTATTTCTTCATACTTCTATCTTGAATTTCTTTTTTTCTTTGTTTTAATTAGAGACAGAGTCTCTCTATATTGCCTAGGCTGGTCTTGAACGCCTGGGCTCAAGTGATCCTTCTGCTGCAAGCTCCCAAAGTGCTGGGATTATAGGTGTGAGCCACTGTGCCTGGCCTTGAATTTGTACAAAAATATAATCATGTGTTATTTTATACTTTTGTTTTTTATTTTGATTTTTATCTTTTTGAGACATAGTCTCGCTCTGTTGCCCTGGCTAGATAGCAGTGGTGTGATCATGGCTTACGGCAGCCTTGACTTCCCAGGCTCAAGTGATCCTTCTGCCTCAGCCTCCAGAGTAGCTGGGACTACAGGTGCATACCACCAGGTCCAGATATTGTTTTTTACTTTTATAGAGATGCGGGGGAGGGGGTCTTACTATGTTGCTTAGACTGCTCTTGAACTCATGGTCTCAAGCAGTCCCCCCCACCTCTGCCCCCCAAAGTGCTGGGATTACAGGCATGAGCCACCATGCTCAGCCCATTTTACATTTTTAAAATAGGCATAGAGGAAAAGGCAAAGAAAGACTGTGAGAGAAGCAAAAACCACTAGGGAGAGAAAACATCAAGAAAAGCAAGGACAGCTGTATTGGCTGGCACCTGTAATCCAAGAACTTTGGGAGTAAGTAAATTTCTTGAAAATAACTGTAACATTATTTCTTAAATTTTCTAATCTTTGTAACTATAAAGGCTGATTTTTAAAATTATGGTAAAACAAATATAAAATTCATATGGTGAATCTTTGATAATGGAAACATCATCACTGTGAAACAAATACAGGCATTGTGTGAGGCACAAGGGCTACAGTGGTGACAAAGACAGGCTAGGTCCCTGCTTTCATGGCACTTACATTCTGGGGAGAAGGCAACAGAGAATAGACTCATAAATAAACACACAAGGCAATTTTATCTGTGATAAGTGCTATAAAGACAATACCCAGGGTGGTATAATAGATCACAGGAGACTAGGGGGTAGCAATGATTCTTGTGATAGGAATTAGACATGTTTTTTAACTACTGCAAGGTCATGCAGAGCAATCTTTTCTTTTCTTTTCTTTTTTTTTTTTTTTAATTGTACTTTAGGTTCTGGGGTACATGTGCAGATCATGCAGGATTGTTGCATAGGTACATACATGGCCATGTGGCTTGCTACCTCCATCCCCCCGTCACCTATATCTGGCATTTCTTTCCATGTTATCCCTCCTCAACTTCCCCACCCCCTGCTGTCCCTCCCCTAGCCCCCCTCAACAGACCTCAATGTGTGATGCTCCCCTCCCTGTGTCCATGTGTTCTCATTGTTCAATACCCATCTATGAGTGAGAGCATGTGGAGTTTGATTTTCTGTTCTTGTGTCAGTTTGCTGAGAATTATGATTTCCAGATTCATCCATGTCCCTACAAAGGACACGAACTCATCATTTTTTATGGCTACATAGTATTCCATGGTGTATATGTGCAACATTTTCTTTGTCCAGTCTATTACTGATGGGCATTTGAGTTGGTTCCAGGCCTTTGCTATTGTAAACAGTGCCACAGTGAACATATGTGTGCATGTGTCTTTATAATAGAACGATTTATAATCCTTTGGGTATATAACCAGTAATAGGATTGCTGGGTCAAATGGAATTTCTGTTTCTAGATCCTTGAGGAATCACCACACTGTCTTCCACAATGGTTGAACTAATTTACACTCCCACCAACAGTGTAAAACTGTTCCTATTTCTCCACATCCTCTCCAGCATCTGTTGTCTCCAGATTTTTTAATGATCACCATTCTAACTGGCATGAGATGGTATCTCAATGTAGTTTTGATTTGCATTTCTCTAACGACCAGTAATGATGAGCATTTTTTCATGTTTGTTGGCCTTACATACGTCTTCTTTTGAAAAGTATCTGTTCATATCCTTTGCCCACTTTTGAACGGGTTTGTTTGTTTCTTGTAAATCTGTTTTAGTTCTTCGTAGATTCTGGATATTAGCCCTTTGTCAGATGGGTAGATTGCCAAAATTTTAAAAACATGGAACCCTTCATGAATTTGTGTGTCATCCTTGCACAGGAGCCATGCAAATCTTCTCTGTATCATTCCAATTTTGGTATATGTGCTGCTGAAGCAAGCATGCGGAGCAATCTTTTCTAGGGACTATACACATTCAGACATGAATTGTGCCCATGGGTGGCTTATGGCTTTGTTGGTGAGAAAAGGCACATGCATAAAGACACAAAGAATGACTAAAAGACATTATAGAAAGTAGCCCACCTAAATCTTGAAAACATTATCCTAAGTGAAAGAAAGCAACAACAGATCATATATTGCATTATACCATTTATGTGAAATATCCTAGGCTGGGCATGTTTGCTCATGCTTATGATCCCATCACTTTGGGAGACCAAGGCAGGAGGACTGCTTGAGACCAGGAGGTTGGGACCAGCTTGGGCAACATAGGGAGACCCTGGCCAGGGGCAGTGACTCACACCTCTAATCCCAGCACTTTGGGCAGCCGAGGTGGGCAAATCATGTGAGGTCAGGAGTTTGAGACTAGACCAGGAGTTTGAGTTTCAACATGGTGAAAACCTGTCTCTACTAAAAATACAAAAATTAGCTGAGCATGGTGGCACACATCTGTAATTCCACCTACTCAGGAGGCTGAGGCAGGAGAATTACTTGAATCCCCGAGGTGGAAGTTGCAGTGAGCAGAGATCACGCCATTGTCTGGGTGACAGAACAAGACTCCATCTCAAAAAAAAAAAAAAAAGAGAGAGAGACCCTATCTTATACAGTTTGTCTATGCCTTCACCCAAATCTCATCCTAAATTGTAGTTCCTATAATCCCCGTATGTCATGGGAGGGACCTTGTGGGCAGTGATTAGATTATGGGGGCAGTTCCCCCATGCTGTTCTGTTAGTAAGTTCTCTTGAGATCTGATAGTTTTATAAGGAGCTTTCCATGTTTCACCCTGCATTTCTTCCTGCCACCATGTAAAGAAGGATGTGTTTGCTTCCCCTCTCGCCATGACTGTAAGTTTCCTGAGGCCTCCCCAGCTATGTTGAATTGTAAGTCAATTAAACCTCTTTCCTTTATAAATTACCCAGTCTCGGCCAGCTGTGGTGGCTCAAGCCTGTAATCCCAGCACTTTGGGAGGCCGAGGCGGGCAGATCACCAGGTCGAGAGATCGAGACCATCCTGGCCAACATGGTGAAACCTCGTCTCTACTAAAAATACAATAATTAGCTGGGCGTGGTGGCGTGCACTTGTAGTCTCAGCTACTCAGGAGGCTGAGGCGGGAGAACTGCTTGAACCCGGGAGATGGAGGTTGCAGTGAGCCGAGATTGTGCCACTGCACTCCAGCCTGGCGCCTGGTGACAGAGTGAGACTCTGTCTCAAACAAACAAACAAACAAACAAATAAATAAATAAATTGCCCAGTCTCAGGTATTTATTTACGTAGCATGAGAACAGACTAATACATCATCTCTACAAAAAAATTTTAAGAATTAGCTGGGTATAGTGGCACATGCCTGTTATTCTAGCTTAGTTGGGAGGATCGCTTGAGCCCGGAGTTGGAGGCTGTGGTGAGCTATGATTGCACCACTGCACTCCAGTCTGGGCAACAAAGAAGGAAAGAGTCACTCAGAGGCATAGCATGCTAGGTGACTCAGTGGGGAGAACTTGCTATTGCAGCAGTCCAGGGAATGACAGTGAAGATAGAAATGTGGAGACAAATTCAAGAGCTGCCTCTAGTGTAGCATGAATAGTCTCTTAAGCACAAATCTGATGATGTCACTGTCTTGCCTAAACATTTCATTCCCTCCAGGTTACCATTCAAGCTTCTTAGGGTGGCTTACAAGTCTCTGCATATCCTGGCCCCTGCAGGCCCCTCCAGCCTCATCTCTCTACAAATCTTGCCCCTTTCACCCTCTCCACCTCCAACGTATTCTGATAAATTGGTCCACTTATAATTGCTGTCAGACCAGGATCTCAGCTGTGGTGGTATATACTTGTTCTCTCTACCTGGTAAAAATCCCCCTGTGGACATAAACTTCTCACTCTTACCATCCTTCAGTACTCAGCTTAGTCATCACTTTGGAAAGTGTCTCTGACTCTCAAAGTCTGGGTTAGGTACCATTGCACTCTACAGGCTCCATCATAGCTGTTTTTGTTTTGTTTTTTGTTTTTTTTTTTTTAGAGACAGACGGGGTCTTGCTATGTTGCCCAGGCCGGAGTGCAGAGGCTATTCACAGGCGTGATCCCACTACTGATCAGCATGGGAGTTTTGACCTGCTCTGTTTCCAACCTGGGCTGGTTCACCCCTCCTTAGGCAACCTGGTGGTCCCCCACTCCCGGGAGGTCACCATATTGATGCTGAACTTAGTGCGGACACCCGATAGGCATAGCACACTACAGCCCAGAGCCCCTGGGCTCAAGCGATCCTCCCACCTCAGCCTCCCGAGTAGCTGGGACTACAGGCATGTGCCACCGCGCCCGGCCATCATAGCTGTTTACTCATCTGTCTTCTTCACTCTCCTGTGAGTTCCATGAAGACAGAGACTAGTTGTTTTCCACTGTGTCCCTACCATTTTCTCAGTGCCCAGCTCAGAGGAGAGGACTCACTTACATGAATGAGATAATACCTAGAGATGGAAGGCAAGGAAGAGGCAGGAGGGATGCCTCCTTTTAGAATCATCTTTTTGCCAGGCGTGGCGGCTCAAGCCTGTAATCCTAGCACTTTGGGAGGCCCAGGTGGGTAGATCACCTGAGGTCAGGAGTTCAAGACCAGCCTGGCCATCATGGTGAAACCCCATCTTAAAAAAAAAAAAAGAATCATCTTTTTTATCTCTCCCATCTCCCAATCACATAGCTTTCTGTCTCTTAGCTCCTTGGAGAAAAGTCTCAGTTTCTCTGAGATCACCCTTACCCCCTCAGGCTATGGCTGACTTGAGGGCCAGGTGCATCTTGGACTGAATCCAGGCCTGGGACTTTCTACACCTTAAGATCCTCTGCAGTTTCCAGCCCAGAGTTTTGGCCCCAAAGACAGGCAGCATCTAGCTTCCCTCAACTGCTCAACTGGCCAAGGAATAAGAAAGCCATCTTGTGCTCTTGGGAAGGCAGCCACGGGAGTGGGTCTGGGTGGGGCTCAGTGCCGTGGGATGCCCCGGGGGCATATGGATCCATTTCAGAGACTCACCAGCTCCTTCACCCAGGGACTCTTCTGGGCCTCTCTTGTGCTTTACAATTAAAAATATCATTTCCCTAATGTTTCTTAGAGCCTCACAAAGGGCCACAGGAAGGACAGCCAGGGAGGAGGGCAAGAGGGAGAGGAGGCCAGTGTCCAAAATACAAGGAGTATTTTATACTTTTAATTTTATAATTGTAATACAAGTCCAGAGCAGGACTTCTGAGACTTCAGTCATCTGATACCACTTTCACCTTTGTTGCCATATCCTCATAACACCTATAGAATTATTTGCTTTTATTTCAACTTTTTTTTCTTTTTTTTAAGAGACGGGGTCTTGCTATGTTGCCCAGGCTAGAGTGCAGTGGCTATTCATAGGTGCGATCCCACTACTGATCAGCATGGGAGTTTTGATCTGCTCCATTTCCAACCTGGGCCGGTTCACTCCTCCTTAGGCAACCTGGTGGTCCCCCACTCCCAGAAGGTCACCATATTGATGCCGAACCTAGTGCAGACACCCGATCAGCATAGCACACTACGGCCCAGAACTCCTGGGCTCAAGAGAACCTCCAGCCTCAGCCTCCCAAGTAGCTGGGACTATAGGCACGCGCCACCACGCCTGGCTCAACTTATTTTTTAAAAACCAAAACACATTTAACTTAAAGAAAACCTTATATCACAACACTAATATAAGAGTATAATTTGCCAGGTGTGTCCAGTTATCCCCTCAGATCCACTCTCTGCCCCTCCCCATCTGCTGTAGAGCAGAGGGGCTGACCTTATGGCCCACACCCATGAGCTCTCGTGGTCTCTATTTCCATCTGGGATTGGCCTCAGTAGGAGACTGGGAACAAGGAGGAACAAGAGTGAAATGAGAATCTTTCTTCCCCCAGCTCCTTGCCTAGGGGATCACAGCAGACTGGCTGTTTTCTTCAACCCAAGGTCTGCGCTCCTGTCCCTTGGCCCTCTCTCTGGTTCTAGTACGTACTCTCCCTTACCCCTCAGGCACTTTGCTGCAGCTGTCCCTAGAGGACTGCACTGTCTTTGTGATTTATATACACAGGGCCCACATCTTTATAAATAGTCCCTTGACGAAATTCTCACATTACCGATTTTGAAAGTGCCATCTGTTTTCTGCCAGGAACCTGGCTGATATACTTATCATAAAGAGAAAGTAATTGACAGTGATAATACAATTATGCTATTAAATTCCGAATAAATGTAAAAAGGGATGAAGAATTTTTATGTAATGCTATAGAATGAGCTTCATGTCATATTAGTGAAAAGCGAACAAACCATAAAAAGCAAAGTGCAGAGCAATTTTTAGGCTGCAGGGGAGAGAAAAATAAAAACATGTGCAATATGTGCATTTGCTCACATACCCAAAAAGAAGCAATTAAAAGGTAAAACTAGCCAGGTGTTGTGGCTCACACCTGTAATCTCGGCACTTTGGGAGGCCAAGGTGAGCGGATCACCAGAGGTCAGGAGTTCAAAACCAGCCTAACATAGAGAAACCCATCTCTGCTAAAAATACAAAATTAGCTGGGCGTGGTGACACATACCTGTAATCCTAGCTACTTGGGAGCCTGAGGCAGGTGAATTGCTTGAACCTGGCAGGGCGGAGGTTGCAGTGAGCCGAGATCACACCATTGCACTCCAGCTTGGGCAACAAGAGCGAAACTCCGTCTCAAAAAAAAAGGTAAAACTAAAAATTAATAGAGATGGTTACCTTAGGGAGAGAGAAAATATTGTTGATAGAAAGCTAGAGTTCTCTGATTACTTTGTTATATAGTTTTAGCTTTGGAGTTATTAAGTGTTTTATACAATTAAATTTATATTAAAATAGCATAAGCTATTACTTGGCTATACAATGTTCTTTTGCACCACAAATTCCAGGAACATGAAGATAATGGGTGAAGGTCACATAGTGCAACTTGTGGTAAC